CCCCCCCATTAGATCTTCATCATGCTATGTTGGCTTTACTTCTGCTGGATGTTCTTTCAGTCCTCGCCGTCCATTTCCAGTCCATTTTTTCCTCCTCTTACTTTTCTTTCTGTGCCATCTTACTCACCCATCACATTAACTTTCGGATCAATAGCTTACTCCCTTCCATAGTTCTGATTGCAAAATTTATACCTTTATTTTAGATTAATCTCTTCTCTTTCAGATCTATTTAGTTATCTCCTAAGCATTTTCCATTGTGTAACATTACAGGCAAACCAAATTTGAAATGTGTGAAACATATTAAGTTATCTTCTCCCTGAAATTTATAACTTTTTCTGCATCTCTAGTCCTGGCTGGGGATCCTGATAGCATCATTCACCTAGTAGCCCAAACCAGAAATCATTGAGTTGCTCTATATTTTACCACAAAAAATGAGTCAATATGTTCTTTCTTATCTGCTGCCTTAGCATTATTTCTGTCTTTCCTTTTTCTTCTAGCATATTAACTGACTGTCACTATTTCTTTCAGACCATCTTCTACCTTATAGCCACATATGTTTCTATTAGACCAATTTTATTATATTCTTGCTTTAACCATCATCTTCCATTACATTTTATAAAATGCTTTGCAAAATACTTCAAAAATAATTTATGAATCTCATGAATAAAGAAGTAAACTGCAACACTGCAGTGCTGAATGCTAAATCTGTTTTCTCTTGGAAAGTCACAGCATACATTATTAAAAGGACGGCCATATGAAGTTTTGCTATTGACCATAGCAACAAAACTTGGTAACATGAGTTTATATTGGAAATCCTTTTTTTTTTTTTTTTTAACTTTTGTTAATGTAGAATTCTTGACAAGATATGCTCCTGATCTCACTCCCATGGTATTCAAGACCTCATGCATGCTTCTCTAATCTCATCTCTTCCCTTTTGAGCCTTGGTAGCCATAGAGATTATATTCGTCTAGTTTCCCAAACAGCAACCCTCTATTTTTTTGTATAGTCTTCTTTTTTCCTGGAATACCAATAATCTATCTGTTGACTTGCATCCTTAAAAACTAAACTTTTTAAGAGCTCGGATTATTTCTTTATTCATTTGATGTCTTCTGTGGCTGGCATGCTGATCGACACATATTAGGTGCTTTTTGCATGTTAAAATATAAAAATGGGGAAAGTCAATAAGAGAGAGTGTACTTTTAAAGATATTAAATTTGCTATATCTGCCATCATTCTGTTCCTATATATTGCCTATTCAGGAAATCAAACAGTATCTGATAGTAGCTGCTTAACAATTTTAAGCTACTTGATCTCAGCAATTTAATTGTTCTTCAGAGGTTGTTGTTTGTTTACAAGTACAAGGTCTAGGAAATTACTCTGCTTTATAAGGTATGTTTTAATTGTTACAGAACAAAAATGAAATTTACTTTTATGTGTATTATGGCTATTCTCCTTCTACTGTGGACATTCCTTAAAAATGATTGTTATAAATGTTTTCTGTTTCTTCCTGACAGGTAATATTTGAAGCTGAAGTCTCAGGAGGGAGAAGTGGTTATATTGCCATTGATGACATCCAAGTACTGAGTTATCCTTGTGGTAGGTTGTGCTTAAGAATTGTATTTTTCTTTGTCCTTTCAACACTTGTCTTATATTGGCAGTGACTTGATTGTTCATCACTTGGTCTTTGCTGTCTCCCTTCTTGCAGTCACTCCTAGCCTTCTGTCAAATAAGAGTTTTAAAAGAAAACTGAAATATTTTTAGTTTTTCAATCAAATCTTTTTCAGACTTGTAACCAATTCTTTAGGATTCTTTTTACTATTTAACTACCGAGAACAAAATATAAATGCAAAGGCAACTCTCAATAGGTGTTGTTAAATTTTTTGTATTAATAAATTGTCAAGAAAGCAAAGAAGAATAGCAGTTGAGTTCAGGAGAAAGGAAACTGAAAAGAAGCCTCACTAAATTATTTGATCAGATAAGTAGAAGATTGGGGTGAAATGAAGGGAATAAATTAGTTCACCTTATTCCAAACTTAGGAGTATTTTGTCTTTGTTTTTGCTGTCATAAATATTTGGCTGATTCATATTTTTAAAAGTTAAAAGCAAACAAAAGAAGAAACTCAGTTTACTAATACATACTTCTGTTATGCCCTTGGATGCACATTGGTTGATTTTGAGATGGGATATCTAAATTTGTGTTTATGTCACATTCTCTGAAAGACAATTATTGCATGCATTCAAGAGAGTCAGGTTTAAAAAAAAAACAAAAACAGCTGTCATCAATTCAGACTTTACCTGTATTTCTCAACAGCAGCACTTTCCAAGGCCTGTGAATTCTGGAGGTCTGTTCAATACTCTTTCCTAGTAGAAATATCTAACACTTTCTAAGCAGCATGTGCCGGGGCCACCGTGTGAGGGACCAAGGCTTATGCTCCTGCTGAGTGGTCAAATTCAAGTGTTTATCAGAATCACCCGCAGGGTGTGGTAAATCCCAGATTGCTCATTCCCTCGTCTGGTGTGGTAGCATTCGCCTTTCTAGTCAACTTCCAGATGCCATTGATGTTGCTGGTCTAGAGTTCGTAATTTGAGATCCACCGTTCTAGCTCCCATTTTAGCCTAAGGATTCCTTTTTTGCAAAGCTCTGTGATATGGCATTAGAGAAAGATATAGCAGGCAAGGATCAAATGATATACTCCATATGGTATATTCTTAGAAAGAACGGAATAAAATCACCTCACTCAAAGTTCAAGTTGATTGACTAAGTTCTTTCAACCCATAGTGTAATCGAACTGTGTTTCCATCTACTGTTCATTTTTACTTCTTGCATGATAGATGTTAAAGAAAGGCTTTTATGAGTAAATAAACAGAAAATTAGGATGGCTGGATGTGGGAGCTCATTCCTGTAATCCCAGTGCTCTGAGAGGCAGAGATGAGAGGGTAACTTGATTCCAGGAGTTCGAGACCAAACCTGGGCTAATAGTGAGAGCCTATCGCTCCAAAAATTAAAATAAAGTAAACTAGCAATGAGCTGGGCGTGGTAACGCATTCCTGTAGACCTAACTGCTCAGGAAGCTGAGGTGGAAGTATGGCTTGAGCCCAAGAGTGCAAGACTGCCGTGAGTTGTGATCATGCCACTGAACTCCAGCCTGCTTGACAGAATAAGACCCCGTCACAAAGAAAGAAAGAAAATTATAAATTGAGCATAACAACAGTAGTTTTAGTGTGATGTGGCCTTCTGTGAGCTTTTCTTTCACTCACCATGCTTGGTTTTTGCTGTTTATATTTCTGTTTAATGGACAACATGGATGAGACTTCAGTTTTAAAAAGTAACTTCAGAGAATACTTGTTTGGCAGTCATAAGATTCATGTATATTTTGACTGTAGTTATCATAACACTTTTTGTTGGTCTAATGCAGGTATTTTGTTTGGGTAACTTTCCTATGGATATAAAGAAACAGGATGTCGATGTAACAGTTTAGTGAATATCTGAGAGAAACAAAAATATTTTCTTGTTCTTTGAATTGCCAGAGGGTTAGTAACTATTGAAGTCAAAGAGAAACAAAGCTGCTTACATTGTAGTTTATTAAGCTCAATGGCCATGTAGCTGTCAGTATTTTGGAAATCAATATATGTTTTAATTATATTTTTATATTATGCTCTGATTTGTGCCTATTTAATCTCTTTTGCTTGCTTTGGCTTGTAACTGTTTTATTATCACCCATACGCAACATGTTATGGAAGCCATTCAGCTGTAATTGTTGAGTGCTCACTCTGTGTAGAACAATAGCTAGCAATGATGAGACAATCAGTCATAGAACTACTGAGGAAAAGAAAACTGAGAGTCAGAGAGGAAATAGTGTCTTCCAGCACAACCCCCGCCCACCCGAGTTTTCTCTGGATATTACTCTTGGCCAAAGGTAGGACCACTGACGATATTGGTTGGGGAAAAGTAACATGGCATATTTTCTTCCAATGGAAAAACAACATACATGTATATATATTTTTTCCCTTCACAGATAAATCTCCTCATTTCCTCCGACTAGGAGATGTAGAGGTCAATGCCGGGCAGAACGCCACGTTTCAATGCATTGCCACAGGTAGAGACGCCGTACACAACAAGTTATGGCTACAGGTAAGGCCACGCTGATAGCTGAGCTAACAAGTACACATCAGTTTTTTTAAAAAGTCCAGTCGGTGACTCAGCCTGTCATCCCAGCACTTTGGGAGACCAAGGTGGGGGGGATTGCCTGAGTTTGCAGGTTCAAGACCCGCCTGGGCAACTTGGTGACAACAATAAATCAGAAATTAGCCTGGTTGTGTGGTAGCATGTGCATGTAGTTGCAACTGCTTGGAAGACTGAGTGGGAAGGATCACTGGAGCCCACAGATTGACACTGGGGTGGCCTTGAGTGTGCCACTGTGCTCCAGCCTGGCGATGGAGTGAGACTCCAACTCAAAAAAAGAAAGAAAGAAAATTACAGCTGTACTCTTTGTAGTCTCATCCTTTTCTGTGTGGGTTTAATTTAATTGGCTACAGATTCATGTTAGAGATTTCCTTTCTTTGGAGTGTAAGTGAAAATTCAAGGGCGTATAATTAATAAGTATTTGTGTTAGTGTCTAGTGAAACCTAATGATTTTCTAAGGCTATGTTCAGACTGTAAAGAAAAGTCTCTAGATCCATTTAAAATATGAATAAGAATGAATTTTTTCTTATTTAATAATATTTTGAAAACTAAACTTATAAGAGCACAGTTCTTAAGTAGGAACTGTCATACTCTGATAATTTTTTAAAGTATTAAAAAAAAAACAAAACAAACCCTGGGAGTATTTCAGGAAATATGCATGGGAAGAGAGCCAATTAAATTTATTCAAAATTTTTGTATATGAGGGTTAATCACAGATCTGAGGTTAAGGACATTTTCCTTGCACGTATTCAGTCTTTAATAAACTTGTACTTCATTAATTGTGACTTAACATACATGGTGGAGAAATGTAAATGAAAAGATCCAAGATAATCAGAGAAAACTGTAGACAAAGGAATATCCCTTGCTTTCAGATAATTTACAGAAAGTATATTTGTCAGTGCTGGGAACTGGGAGGAACAGAGAGCAGCTCTAAAACCTGGAGGCTGGATCTAGGACAGATGGCTGTTAAGCTAAATACTTGAAACTAGATGATTTGTAAATAATAATTTTCTCTGGGCACCTTTATTATTTTGAGTCCTCTCTGCATCAGAATTAGGAAAGGGCTTAATTAGTTTAAAATTTTAAATTCCTGAGAATGCCAGTAGAGACCAAAAAAAAAATCATTGTAAGATTAGCTTAGTTTCTTCAACATAGGCGTCAGGATTTATTTTACTGTATCTCTTGGAGTGGTCAAAGTAGTGCTGGGAATAATCATTAGTTTGCATGTATTTGGGATGATGGTTCTATGATTATTGAAACCATACTTCATATAATGTCTGATATTGTACTAGGTGGTATATGTGTGTTATTGCATCTTGTTTGCATAACAATGCAGTTGGGGGTTAGGACAGATGTACTTCATGTTAATCTGATTATTATTACTTGATAATTTATTTGATTTGCAAGTGTGAGGATACCGTTTTTTTTTTGTATGTCCAAATGTGAAAAAAAAATGAGGTTCCCTTTTTTCTCTGATTACATTAATTTCCCCTGGATATATTGAAAAATAAAATAATTTTTCCTGGAAAGCATATTGTGTAATATGCAACCTGTCCTATCAACTAAATGTTCAGTTAGTTTTCTCATCTCTCTCTCTTTCTCTCTCCCCCTAAATAAATAGTTTAAAATGATTTTAGATATACTCTCTAATAATTTTTTATTTAGATGGGGACATGAGTTAGCAATCGGTTTTAGTTGTGAGCCATGTCATCTTTTCTTGGAGAATCAGAGGCTCTGTAGTCTGTCCCTGATTTTTATGCCTTAGGTTTAATGTGACATCGAAATAAAAAGGGTTTTGTATTCTCAGTCACCAGCTGTCTTGTGGCAACAAAGACTTTCTGAACCCTGCTGATAGGAGTGGATTGTAGTCAAAATAATATTATTTGTTTGTTTGTTTCGTATTTTGTTGATTGGTTCATTTCATGATAGCTTCTTACGTTTTCTTCCTGCCATTTTTTTAAAGAGATAAAATATTCAATGAGACGTCAATTTTGCTTTCTTCCATTTGACACAGAAAGGTGAATTTGTGTATTTCTGTTTGACAATGACACTGACATCACCCAGTTCTTCAGCAGTGTACCTATTCACCTTATTTATACAAAAAACGATTATACTTTCAATTATGCTACATAAATCACCATAGCTTATTCTCTTAAGTCATTCTTTTCTATGTTCAAGAAATATTGAAGTCTATCAATTAATTAGTTTAGGGATGTTTTCAAATTAAAATAAGCATTTTCTTTATGGTGATACCATGTTACAATGAAGCAGATAGGATAGGTCACTGGTCATGTTGTATATATCAGTCCATCAGAATGTGGCAGTGACTTAAATTTACTCTACTATTGCTGAAAGTAGTAAAAAGAAAGAAAAAGAAAGACAAGCTTATCTTTTCCTGAAAGTAGTAAAAATTTAATGAAGCAGGAAGAATTCTTGTTCCATAGTGAATGTACCAGCTAACACATATAAATAGTAGTAAGTTATTTTCACTTGGTATAGGACAATACCCTACATAGTTCAGGAAGTCAAGTTCTTAATTCTAACCTCATTTCTAATACTTCTAATCCTTTTAACTCTGCAAATTGTGGTGGACGTAGAGATGTCATTGACCTTTTCTGGGCTCAATTTCCTTATCTATAAAAGCAAATGCTGGAGAGACCAAAATTTCTTCCAACTGTAAGATACTAAACTGGACCTTTGCATTATTTTTATGACCTGATACATGACTTTGATAACTTTTTTTGTTTGATCAAACAGTGAAAAATGTTTATGTTAATAGTTTTGTATGGAAAAAAATTGGTCCCATAAATTATCATTGTGAGAACAAATACTTAAAATATCTGCCGAGAGTACTGAGAATGAATGTGCTTGAAGCAACTCGGTGAAAGGTCACTCCAGTCTATCACAGAAGTAATGGAATAGTAGAATAGTTGTTACACCTGCCATTGTAGGCAAAATGATAAAAGGCCATTAACAACTTTTTATGTTTGCCAAATAATTTACGTTGTATAGTATTGAGTTTCCTTTGGTAAGATGTTGTCTAAATATGGAGCAAAGTAACAAAAACTAGAAGAGTAGTCAATTTTCCATTTTAAAGGAAAAATGATACACTGCACCTCTTTGAAAGGCACTGAATAAAAACCTGATCAGATTTGATATTTAAAATAACTTGTGTATGGAAATACATTTAGAGAATAATTTTTCTCACTTGTATTTTGTTTCTAGGTAGTGATTAATATTTCAATCAATTTTGTTATCTAATAGATTATATAAGTATGGAGTCTTGAAGTAGGTCTTTACTCTAAATATATGGAAAACAATGACAAAATACATAACCCAGATCATCCTTCTTGTACATGCTGAATGAACTGATACATAAAATGAAATGGGTGAATATTTTTTAGAAGTCTGGGTGTTAACAAGCTAGAAAGATGGTAAAATCATTAGGCTGAATGTTTTTAGATGTCCAAGTGTTAACAAGCTAGAAATATGGTAAAATTATGAGACTTTCTGGAAGATAGTTCTAAAAAGTATATTGATTGTCTGAACCCATGGGTTTGAGAACAGCCTGGGCAGCATGGTGAGACCTTGTCTCTACAATAAATCAAAATAATTAGCCGGGCATGGTAGCATGTGACTGTAGTTCCAGCACTTTGGAACGTTGAGGTGGAAGGATCACCTGAGCTCAGCAGGTCGAGGCTGCCGTGGCCATGGGTGTGCCATTGTACTCCAGCCTGGGCAACAGAGTGAGACTCCAACTCAAATAAATAAATAGATAGATAGATAAACAGACAAATAAATAAATAAATAATGTTATGCAGTATATTCATGAGCTAAGAGAAACTTAGAATAAAATCTTCAGCTACTCAGAGAACTTCGAAGTTATTTTTCTATTGTGAAGTACAATGAAGTAACATATATTCTGGATATAAACAAACACAACAGTTTTGTCAACTTAATGATGTGTAAATTTTTTCCACATGAAAAGATGTTTTTCAAATTTTGCAACAAGTTTCAGAACTAAGTCATTTTAATTATGCAGTATCCCCTGCTTATCCATGGGGACACATTCCAAGACCCCCATGGATGCCTGAAACCATGGATCATACTAAACCATATATATACTATGTTTTTTCCTATAAATGCTTACCCATGATACAGTTTAATTTGTAAATTAGACACAGTAAAGGATCAACAACAATATTGGTAAAATAGAACATTTTAGCAACATACTGTAATAAAAGTTATGTGAATGTGACCTCTCTCAAGATCTCTTATTGTACTGTACTCATGCTTCTTAGGAGGTGAGATGATAAAGTGCCCACATGACGATGTGGAGTGAGGTGAATGATATTATTGTGCCATAGCGTGAGACTGCCACTGACCTCTTGAGAGTACACCAGTTGGAGGTTCGTTTGCGTCGGGAGACCCTGGGTCATTGAGCCGTGATGATGTTGATGGTTGGTTGTCAGCGGCAGACAATGTCGATAGCTGACAAGTGAAGGGTGGCATGAGATTTCATCATGCTGCTCAGAATGGAGTGCAGTTTAAAACGTATGAATGGCTTATTTCTGGAATTCCTTATTTAATATTTTCAGACTGCAGTTGGCAGTGGGTAACTGCAGCTGCCAAAAGTGAAACCTTGGAAAAGGAGGGACTCCTGCATTCTCAAGAAATCTCCAGTGATAGAGAATTTGTAGTCTGTCACTTAAGACACATTGCAAAATGTAGGTTTTAGGAAATAAGATCACAAATGAAATTTAAATATAATTTATACTGAAATGAAATTATAAAAACATCTGGCTATATTCTTGAAAAGTATATTTCAGATGACTTTCTGACAAGAAAAAGAAAAATTAGGTTGTATACTTTTGCAGGTTAAAAATGCTGGTCATATCCTTTAAAATTTATTTTTAAGTTTTGATTATGTGTACATACTAGTTGTATAT